GGGGGGGCGAGGGAAGAATTGCGATGGCGAGAAAGTTTGGGATGAATTTTCCGCCGCTGAAGAATCCGAATGAATAAGAACAGTTAAGTTAAACGAAATCCTTTAAGAAACGAAAGGCTTTCGTTTAACTTTATCTATCTATCTATCTATCTATCTATCTATCTATCTATCTATCTATCTATCTATCTATCTATCTATCTATCTATCTATCTATCTATCTATCTATCTATCTATCTATCTATCTATCTATCTATCTATCTATCTATCTATCTATCTATCTATCTATCTATCTATCTATCTATCTATCTATCTATCTATCTGTTCGAATGTATGTAGCAGTCCAGGACAAACGAACAGAACTATCTTCCTCGCTGTTTCCTTCCCGTTTTCCAGTTTTCTGCTACCCAGTTGAACATTTGCTCCTAACACAGGAGATGGGGGCAAAATATCCAGATATCACTTTTCTATCGTCCTGCACTTCTGGCTGGATTGGTGGAAGTTGCTGGGAATTGTAATGCAGAACATCTGGAAAGCTACAGGTTCTCCAGCCCCAGCAATTCGTCCCATAGATTAATTCAGGGTATCCCAAGAGTTAAAGAAGGAAGTGGGGGGATCCTAAGGGGAACTATTCTCCAATCCAACCTGATTTATTTAGGTGTTCCTGCAAGTCCCCCTTTCTAGTGGGTATCTCCTAACACTTAATAGGCAGGTGTGGCCGGTTTTGTATACCAAATTCCTGCTCTCCCTTTTTGACGAAAGGGGGAGCAGCATTGCCCCCATCAGCAAAAAGCCTGACTTCCCCACGTGGGAGGAAAAAAAACTCAACACTTTTCTGAGATGGTTTTCAGCTCCCTGAAAAAATGCCTGTATTTCTCCCCGTTCCTTGGGACAAGGATCAGCCTGAAGAAACAGAAACGAGCCATCTGGCTTCATCGCAGTTTTAAAAAGGGGGAAATGGGAGAAAGAACCAGGAGGGAGTTAACTCAGGCCAAGGGAAGGTTAGGTGCCCACAAACCCAACCATGGAAACTGTTGATTAAAAAAAGAAAGAAAGAAAGAAAGAAAGAAAGAAAGAAAGAAAGAAAGAAAGAAAGAAAGAAAGAAAGAAAGAAA